AATACAAGGATATAAACATCTACAATAGGTACTACTTATGCAACTAGGGTAGTTTTCCTACAAGACATTCACCAACCATTGGCTATTTTTAGAAAAAAAATTTGTAGTTGTGATGATTTGATTTTTTTTTTGTTTTCTGGAAATTTCTGGGTTGTTATAGTCCTTCCCCCTCACAGAAATCTCGTCCCGAGATTTAAGGTGTGACATACCTTTCGAAGAGGTAGGGGTAAAGAATCCGGAGTTCGGACTCCTTCTCCCATGTAGCTTCCCGTTTAGTGTGGTTGCTCCACTAAACCTTGCACATGGGTATCACGGTGCTTCTAGTCTCCTTCTCAGCTCTGTCTAGTATCCAGATTGGGTGTTCTTTGTACTCTAGAGTGTCCTGAATATCTAGTGCATCTGTGTGTACCTCTTGCTCTAGCAACTGCAAGCACTTGCATAGCTGGGACACATGAAACACTGGGTGTACTCCTATCAACTCCTCAGGCAACTCTACCTTGTATACCAACTTGCCGATCCTCTGACAAATCCTGTAAGGTCCCACGTACCTAGGGGCCAACTTCCCTTTCACATGAAATCTGACAGTGCCTCGGAGTGGGGAGACTTTGAGATAGACATAGTCCCCAACCTGAAACTCGAGGTCTCTCCAACGGTTATCTGCGTAGCTTTTCTGTCGGCTTTGGGAAATCCTCAGGTTCTCTCACACTTGGGTGACTCCTTCTTCGGCATCTTTGATCTTTGCGGGGCCAAAGAATGATCTCTCTCCTACCTCTAACCACATTAGAGGGGTTCTACACTTTCTACCATACAATGCCTCAAACGGTGACATCTTGAGACTAGCCTGGTAGCTATTGTTGTACGAGAACTCTACGTGGGACAAGCTTTTCTCCCAATCAGACCCATACTTCAAGACACAAGCTCAGAGCATGTCCTCCAAAATCTAATTAACCCTCTCTGTCTGTGGGTGGTACGCGGTGCTGTAATCCAGTCGAGTCCCTATGGCCTTGTGGAGACTCTTCCAGAACTTGGACACGTATTGCGTGCCACGATCAGACACTATGCTAGTGTGGGCTCCGTGGAGTCTGAGAATGTGCTCAATGTATAGATCTGCTAACTTCTCAACTATGTAGTCATTCCTCACATCTATGAAGTGAGCTACCTTGGTCAGTCGGTCAACAATCACCCAAATCAAGTCATGGCCTTTAGGGGTTCGAGGTAAAACCACTATAAAGTCTATGGATATGCTCTCCCATTTCCACACCGGGACGTCCAAGGGATTAAGCAACCCGGCCGGTCTCTGATGCTTGGCCTTGACCGTATTGCAAATGTCGCATCACACGACATGCCCAGCAATATCTGCCTTCATATTCTTCCACCAGAACTGATTCTTCATATCGGCATACATTTTGGTGCTTCCTGGGTGGATACAATACTTAGAGTCATGACCCTCTTCCAAGATTTCTTATCGCAAGGCGGGATCAGATGGTACACAGATTCTGTCCTTGTACCTATACACTCCTTGCACATCTTCCCTAAACTCGGGGCACTTGCCCCTCTTCATGAGTTCTCGGATCTCCCAGATTTCCGGACACTCTAGTTGAGCATTGCGGATCCGATCCTTGAGGTTGTATTGCACTCAAAGCTCGTTTAGCATTCCCTTTGGTAGAATCTCAAGACGAAGGTCACCCATTTCCTGACACAGCTCGGGTGGTATAGCTTCCATGGACAGATTGTGGCAATAGCTCTTTCGGCTCAAGGCATCAGCGACTACATTAGCTTTTCCCGGATGATAGTGAATCTCTAGGTCGTAATCCTTTATAAGCTCTAGCCATCTGTGCTGTCTCATGTTCAGATCCACTTGTGTGAAGAAGTACTTCAGGCTCTTGTGATCGGTGTAGATATCACACTTTTTTCCGATCAAGTAGTGCCTCCAGATCTTTAGGACATGCACAACAGCGGCAAGCTCAAGATCGTGGGTCAGGTAGCGTTGCTCATGGTCCTTCAACTATCGGGACACATAGGCAATGACTCTCCCACTCTGCATCAAAATGCAACCCAGTCCCTGTCTAGATGCATCACAATAGACTACGAAGTCTTTCTGGATATCGGGCAAGGCAAGAACAGGAGTGGTGGTAAGCTTCTATTTCAGAGTCTGCAAGCTGTGCTCGCACTTGGGAGTCCATTCAAACTCATTAGCCTTCTTCAGTAGGTTGGTCATGGGCTTGGCTATCTTTGAGAAGTTCTCGATGAACCTTCGATAGTACCCAGCCAATCCAAGAAAACTGCAGATATTGGTCACATTGCGGGGTTGTTCCCACTCCTTCACAGCTTCAATCTTTATGGGATCTATAGGGACTCCCTCAGCAGTGAGAACATGACCAAGGAAGGTGACTTTTTTGAGCCAGAAGTCACACTTGCTAAACTTGGCATAAAGCCGATTCTGCCTCAACTTCTCTAGAACCACTCTCAAGTGTTGTACATGCTCTTCGGTGGTGGAGGAATAGATAAGGATGTCATCAATGAACACCACCACGAACTTGTCCAGCTCATCCATGAATACCTTATTCATCATGTTCATGAAATAAGCCGGGGCATTAGTGAGTCCGAAGGACACCACTGTGAACTCATATTGCCCGTATCTGGTGACGAAAGCTGTCTTAGGAATGTCCTCGGGTCTGATTTTCATCTGATGATACCCAGACCTGAGATCAATCTTGGAAAAGTACTTAGCATCTTTCAGCTGATCTAGGAGGTCATCGATCCTGGGCAGAGGATACTTGTTCTTGACTGTCACGGCATTCAAGTTCCGATAGTCAATGCACATCCTCATGGATCCATCCTTCTTTTTCATGAACAAAATAGGGGAACCCCAGGGTGAAGCACTGGGTCTAATGTACCCCTTGTCCGACAACTCCTTGAGCTGTTTCTTTAGCTCCCCTAGCTCATCGACTGACATGCGGTAGGGTCTTTTAGCAATAGGCCCGGTACCAGGCAGAAGGTCAATCACAAACTCTACATCCCGATCAGGTGGCATGCCTGGCAACTCCTCAGGAAACACATCAGGGTACTCATTCACAATGGTTACCTCCTTGACTGTCTTGGCCTCTAAGGCACACAACATAGAGACTGTCTTTCCCTGATTAGGCTTACAGCGGATTATGTGTCCACTCAGGTGTGTGATCTCTACGTACCTTGGTGAACAAGATATCACTCCTTTGTGCTGTGTCAACCAATCCATTCCCAGTATGACATCTAGTCCCTCAGTTGGAAGTAAGGTGAGATCGGCTAGAAAAGGGTAGCCCTCAATGGTGACACTCACTCCCTGACATCTCTTGGTGCATATAATGCGACCTAAAGGTGAACTGTGTCAATGGGCTCCTTGCGGGGGTCACAGGTATGCTATGCTCTCATGCAAACTTGGTGGAAATGCATGAACAAGTAGCTCCAGAGTCGAACAAAACCAAAGCTATAACTCCCTGTACCAAAAACATACCGTACACCATGTCGGGAGCGTCCTAGGTGTCCTCCACAGTCATGTGGTTGAGACAACTATGGACAGCCCCTGCAACATTCTTGCGCGGAGCAGCAGGTGTAGCAGCCTATCTCGCTTGGGTCAGAGCAGGCGGTGTGCCATTCTTGATGGGGCACTCAGTGATCTTGTGACCGGGCTGGCCACAACTGAAGCAGGTGAAGGGCGCGCCACCTGTGGAGGTGGGCGTAGTGGTCCTCCATGTGCCAGCTCCCTAAGTGGGGTGACTTAGAGCGGGACGGCTCTGAGTGGGGCGGTGGTAGTTGGCGGTGTAGGTATCACCTCCATGGCTTGGAGCGGTCACAACCCCCTAAGTGTAGTGTGAGCGGAGCGGAGGAAGCACGTGAGCACGTGGCCTCTACGGGGCCAGGCCATGACAGGAACTCTCGAACCGGCGCTTCTTCTCCTTATGGAGGGCGTCTGCCTCCAGACGATCCCTCTCCATCTCCAACACCTTGTTGACCATCTCGCGAAGGGAGCGGCAGGCATGACCCAAGAGGGCCACCTTGAGACAAGAGTTCAGCCCCTTCTTGAAGCAGTACATCTTCTTCTTCTCAGTATCGGTCTCACCTGGAGCATACCTCATCATGCGGGTGAAGCGAGTGGTGTACTCCTGAACCTTCTGGGAGCCCTGGGAGATGTTGCAAAACTCCTCCACCTTGGCATCCATGACACCTTTGGGCACGTGGTGCTCACGGAAGGCCTCAGTGAACTCCTCCCAAGAGATACTCCCCGGGTCCTCATGGGCGTCGCAGTAGCTATCCCACCATGCGCGTGCAGCACCGGTGAGCTAGTGGGCGGCGACCCCCACGCACTCCTCGTCAGTGTAGGTGGTGAGGTCTAGCTTCTTCTCCATCTCACGAAGCCAGTCCTCGGCGGTGATGGGGTCATCGTCGGCGGTGTCGAAAGTAGGAGGCCTCAGCTTGAGGAAACCCTCCAACTTCTGCTGGAAGTCATTGGGAGGACCCCCATGGTGGTGAAGCATCCCCTGAGCCACCACCTCTAAGAGGCGGGTTTGGCGGTCCATCACCTCCACCAACTGTGGTGGCGGCGGCGGTGGTGCTCCTCCTCCAAGCTGCTGGGCGGCACCCGCCCCCAGTGCGGGCTCCTCTGGTGCGGGCTCCTCCCTGGCACCGAAGGGAGCTCCCCTGCCTCCTCCATGCCCACAGCCATGACCATGGGCCATGGGCGTGGGGGAAAGCGAGCGGTTGTCCAGACGAGCAGAATGGGCATTGTTAAGTGGTTTATCAATTTAAAATGAGACTTCTATCCAACACTCAAACAAAGATGCAAATAAAAACCATAAGATGCAATGAGATCCAAAACATCCATTACATTAATTTATTACATAGCGACATCTCCCATAGCTACACTAATAGATTCACGAGAATCGTGCTACTCGCAGGCAGCTCCAAAAGTGGGACATCCTACTTTACTTCATAGGTGCGTCATATCTCTGGCCATGTAGGGCTCAACATGTGTCAGGTGGTGTAGAAGGACCGGAAGTGGAAGCCTCGGGAGTGCCCTCCATGGCATGGAGCTCGTCGTCAGAGCGGTGGATCCTCGCAACGTAGGTGAGAGTGTAGTCCAGCATCTCTGTCCTTGGAACCTCTGAGTAACCCTCTGTCGGGCAAACCTTGAAGTTGAGCTTGGTGGCCTCAATGTGGAAGGGCTGTCTGCGTGGCTTCTTGCGCATCACAGGTAAGAGGACGTCTTGGACCTTCCTGATCTCCTGACGCACTTGCGATCAGCGTCAATCCAAGCCTGGCTGATGCGGTTCACCTTGTCCTGAAGGTACTCGGTGCACTTGATGTAGTGAACCAGGTGATGCATGTTGTAGGTGGTGGTGACGGCAGCCTCCACAGCCAGCTTCTCCATCATGTTGCAACGGGCCTCCAGGGCAAGCTTCCTGATGCCATGGTGCTTCTCCTTCTTGTGGAACTCCCTCAGGGTATGTCTCTGACGCTCAATCCGATCCTCGCACTCAAGCACCTTGGACTCAAGATAGTCGTGGCGAAGCTCAGCCTCCCCAACTTTGTCCTTGAGGTTGGCGATCTCCTCCCGAAGTGACTTCTCACGGGTCTCGTAGAAGGTCTTCATTCTGTCATAGCCCATGCGCTCCTCCTCGAGCTTGCTGACCATCTCCTCCTCCTTGCACTCCAGCTTGAGGAACTCCTCGTCGCAACGGAACAGGAGGTCTCGGTAGCGGCGGTTCTGCATCTCCACATCCATGATGTAGCGATCTTGGGCGATGATGTACTATGCGGAGGCCCTTAGGCAGGGGTCGACCTCATCATGCGCAGCACTGTCTGCAGTAGTGATCTGCAGCTCCGAGAACCTGTTGAGGTCCAGAGCGGCAGCCAGCAGGCAGTACGGTCCCGTCTTGAGGTAGTCGTGTGCGTCACGCATCACACTACGAAGAGCAGTGCGTGAGACGGACTGTACGCACGAAGCGATGGAGTTCTCCACCTCCAGTGTCTCAAAGGCACGCAGCATGGGTACGAACTCGCTGGCGGGGACCTTGAGGTGGACCACGATGTGGCCCTTGAACCCGTCGGGTCCAGGCTCACCTCGGCACACGTACTCGAGCTTCTCTGTGGGGACGCCTAGCGAGTCCAGTACATCATACAGGATCATGGCAAACCCATGGTAGGCCAGTCCGTCCACAGGGAGCTCAACAACAGGAGCCATCTACAATTTTAACCGTAAGACGGAGTCAGTACTTGTTATTTATGAAGTATCTTGAGGAATACAGAGTGAAACTTGGTAAGACAAGGCAAAACAAGGTAAATCAGGGTGATACTTGGTGAATCCTGAGTGATACAGGATTAATCAAGGTGGAACGGAGCGATGTGATGGGTAAGGTAGAACGAAATTAACATAAGAGAGTGTGAAATTGAGGTAAGCCATGCACGAAAATGCAGCACGGTCGGTAATATAACCGAAAGTGTCAAGATCTTTCATAATCCTATTGTCCAAACCTACGGGTCCATCCTAGGGTCAAGCATGGCTCTGATACCAACTAAAACGTCCTTGATTTCCATGAAGGGAAATCCATAGAAACAAAGTGTAAAATGACGAAATGATCCGTCAATTTACCCAAATCTCAGTGATACACCAAGTCATACACGATTATCAGAGCACAATAAAGAGTTTTACATAAATTATTCTCTTCACCACGTAGGGTGGAACACACTCACACATATCATCCTAAACAGCATCTGAAGAAGATAGCAGCGGAAAATGATCTCCTAGAACCAGCTTGAGCGCAGAACAGACCCTCTAGTCCTCCCAGTCATCGCCCTCGTAGTCGTACTCGGGCTCGGAACCTGCCAAAAATCTATCAGTACACTTGGTACTGGCCACGCATCACCCACCCTATGCTTGCATTGCTTTGTGGAGAGTGGAATGCATTGGGGGAAGTAGGACGAGACCTATTTAGGCTGTGGGTTTCCTATGCAAGTAGTTAACATTTTAATAATAATATGTTCATCAAGTTTTTAACCCATCTTATTCACACGTTCTCCCCACCCATCACACACATCACATCTCATCTCACTCTCTCTCTCTAGGCGACGAGATCAACTCCCGCTCAGATCTCGCCTCAACGGCCAAAGCCGGAATCCAACACGAAACCCGGGGGAAAGGTAGAGAAGGACTCCTCTCTCTAATCAAATAAAGCGTAGGTCACGGGAATGTCCATATCCGCGGATGCAGCTATATGTATAGATCGATCAAATCTGCAGAGCGTGTACACCTGGTAATCCACAAGATCGCCATCCTCGACGATCCGGCTCATCTAGGCTGATTTCGACTGCCTCCCAACTGGTACAGTACCACCCTACCACTCAGCCCTAGGCCACCCCGGAGTCCACCGAAATGCTGAGACTGTGAGACATAGTACCGGGCCCCCAAGGTCACTACGCTGTCTTAGGAGGGTGTGGGTCCCCATGCCCATACCTCCCTACACTATCACCTTCCAACCTAGTAGTAGTGGTACCACCCTAGTCAGTCGGGTAATCGTCCCCCGCCCATCGGGAGCGAGTGGTGTGCACGAAGGTCCCTTGGTTCCGGTTCACAAGACATACCAGTCCTTAGGGGGACCGGACAGGATATCTTCTCAAAAGGGGATCACCAACTCCCCGTGCCACAACAGCACCTCACCAGGGATAACCAATACCCCGGTCCACCTCTCACATATACCCGCCATAGGTAACTCTCGCAAGGGATGCCTAGGTCACACCCCTTCAGCAAGACTTGCCCCAAAGACTCGTCATAGGATCCTGTCCGATCGACTCAACCCTCACCACACACCCAAAATGCACGCCAAGATCTCCCCATGTTCATTATCTAGTTTTACCAATTTTACGGCACCTCGTGCCTTACGCACATACGTCTCTCCCTCACCAGCATCACATCACAGATATAATGCGAGTAAGAGCAAAGCAGTAAGTATGTAACAAGCGAGCATCTAGCCTATCAGCGGGTGTGCAGGAGTAAGGTTGCAACAAGGTATAAGGCTCAAGTAAAACTACCATGCAACCTAACATCATATTATTGCATAAAAGATAAAGCGCTAGCAATTCTAGTTATAGCATGCGTAATAGGATCTACGAAATTGGGTGGGGGTGGCACCTGGCAGGTCGTCTCCCAAGTCCCCGCTGTAGTCGGGGTCATACTCCTCAGTCGGTAGGTCCTCCGGCTCTGTTAAACGTAACATATGGTCGCGTGAGCGACTCCTATAAAGGTGCACAAAGAAGCAACAGAAATTCAAAAGATCCAAATGCACTCAAACACAAGCCTATGACATAGACCTCCTTTTTAGAAAAATTTGAACACTGGTTTGGTATTTTTCTGAGTTAAAATGAATTAGTTATGAATTTTCAAAGATTAAATGAATTTCTGAAAAAGAAAAAGAATTGGAAATTCTAGGCAGTGACATGTGGCTGCACCCGATTGGCTAGGACGGAGTGAGTCACTGACAGGTGGGTCCGTTGACTGGTCAACGGGCAACGGTCAACTTTGACCGGGCCGAGACCGGGCTCTGGCGGGCTGGGCTAGGGCTGGATATGGGCCGGTCTGGGCCGGGCCAGCCCGGACACGTGGCAGCTCCTCGTGATGCCACGTTGCGCTGTGGATTCGAAATGGGCTCCAGTCTTTGTAGGCATGGCTCACGGTGGGCATGACCGAGCGGTTCACAGGTGCACGTGGGATCTATGGTGGATCGCGTTCACCTTTTCTTTCTTCCTCTTGGTTCATGGTGCACATGGTGCACCGAACTACTGTCCCGGCCCCTCCCCTTGCTTCCCCGCGCGATGGAGTGCCCGCCGGCGGCGAGTGGCCGTTCTCTAGCCATGGCGGCTCCTCGGCAGCGTTTGTAGGCTCAACCAAAGACTTCTCGGCCTGCCCTTGTCCAGTGAGGTGGCCGGTGCAATTGGGAACGCTCTCGGCACGACGGCGCTCTGGAGCGCGGCTCCACCGATAAGGTAAACGCGAGCAGCTCCCTCACATGGCTCTCTTCCTCCATCTTGCTGTGTGTGGCGCATCCCTTGCCAAGGCGAAACAGATAGCCCTCCTTCCCTCGCTTCTACCGGCCTGACGCGGCAAGAACGGAACCTCGCCATGGTGAGCTCTAGCCATGGCGGGCATGCTCCGCAACACGTCGCCCCTCCAGTGTTCCTAGGCCCTCGGTGCGCAGTGCAGTCCATGGTTGGGGTGGTAGGTGTGCGTGCGTGTTTGTAGGCAGGGTACAGGGGTCAGGGCCTCCTCTTGCTCGTTCCCGGTACGGAGACGACAAAGTGATGCCCGCAAACACTACGGTAGAGAGCCGGGAGGGTGCTGGGGCTCACCGTAGGTGGCGATGGCGAAGGGATATCGATGCAGGGCGAGTCGAGGTAGTGTCGGGGCGAGGCCGTGCCGTGCCGAGCAGCTACTCCGCTATAGCCGATCGGGTCGTCGCCTTCCGTTCTAGTGGCTCCTCTTCGGCGGCTCCGGTAGAACCCTCTCTTCTCTACTCCCCTTCTCCCTCCTTCCCCTCCTTCTCTTGGTTGCGACGGGAAGTGGTGGCCACCAGGGTGGCGGCGAGGTGATGGGAAATGGCTAGGGCACCTCGGTGGTGCCTTCTTATAGGGAGGTGGTGATCATGGCGAGGTGAACGGCGGGAAGGGGGCTTAGGGCCACGTGGAGGTTATTAGTGCGCTTAGGCTAGGGTTAAGGTCATGATGCGGTCGCGGGTTGCCTTGGCGCCTCCGTTTTGGCGCAACAACATGCTTAGGCTTCGTATGAGGGTGCCAGGGGTGGTTGCAAGGGCGTGGGCCATAGCGATGGCATCATGGTGCGGATGGCTCCAGCTGGGGATAGTAGCAGTGCGGATAGGCAATGTGGCGTCGCATCCATGAGTTCGTTGTCAACCGGCGTGAAGAGAACGGCTGGTGATGGAGATTCCCCCTCCTCTATCCTGACTCGGACGCGAAAAGGGGGTGAAGGCACGAGGAGGACGATGACAACGGGGTCCCAGCTGGCGGTGATCGGGAAAAAGGGAAGAGCGGCTCCTGTATGACGCGAACGAAGAGCGGGTCCTAGCTAGGCCGTCTCGGCATTGTTGGGCCGTGCTGAATCCGTGGCCCGTTACGGTGGGAGTGGGGCAGCTGAAAGGCTAGGCCGGTTGGGGGTTGGGTTGGCCCACGGGTGCCGGTGCACGGCCTGCTGGGCTGGCATCCGTTCGCGGGCTGTGGAGCCAGGCTGGCTTGAGCTCTAGGGCCAAAAGGGGTTTCTCCATTTTAGCTTAATTGAATTAGCTCTTCTATGTTATGTCTTCATTTTTCAAGCTACTCCATAGTTCCTACATGCATACACATGTGTTGCCTACACATGTATGCCCTAGTGGGGTCCACTAGAGGTCATTTAGGGTTCAACCAAGGGTTGGCAACAACACACACACATTTGTTTAAATATTTAAATAAATGTTGTTGCTTTTATTAATCAATACAAAAGAACATAAGAAGCAACTCATGCAAATTTAATTAAATACAAGGATATAAACATCTACAATAGGTACTACTTATGCAACTATGGTAGTTTTCCTACAAGACATTCACCAACCATTGGCTATTTTTAGAAAAAAAAAATTGTAGTTGTGATGATTTGATTTTTTTTTGCTGGAAATTTCTGGGTTGTTACAACCGGCCTAACTCCGGCCACCATGGCATCAAGTTTTCCCCTCTGGGTTCTTGCCTCTAGCTCTAGCACGTCGAACTATGCCTTGGTTCTTCGACGATATTCTGTAGATACCAAAGGGATTTGTCAAACGAAGAAATCATATTAGCAACAACTCCGACCATGAACTACTCACCTTCTTGATCCTTGGCCAGTTTCTCCGCTTCCCTAAATGCCTTCTCCTTCTCTTGGAGTTCGGTGACTTGACGCAACCGGCCAAGCTCTACATCTCGCTCTACAAACATAACGGTCAACAGCAACATCAAGACTGTTCGGCAGTGCAGAACAAATTTACCAATCTACAGTACCTTTCTTCTGTTCGGGGACGTTTCTCAGCTGCTCAGAGGTGTGCTCCAGCTGCTCGGAGATAGTCTTCAACTGCTCGGATAAGGTGCCCTTCTGGTACTCTAGGTCCCTCACGTTTGATTCAGCAAAATCCCTTTCACGCTGGGCCCTCTAGATGTTCTTCTCCATCA